CCCTAGAGCACAGTGCATCTGTCAATGTAAAGCTAAAAAAGGTGTACTGTTCAGATATATCTATTTTACTGTACAACACTTGGATGGAATATGCTGAAAAAAGGCTTTATACTGTACTAATTATATCGTTGAACGTCAGTTAGGTCAAGATGGGAGGAGTTATGCATTGTGTTAGAGATAATAACCTACCTGTATGTCTCCCTGGAATCAGGTGCTGTATAGACTTGGGGAGGGGAGGGGAGCAATGTGAAATAAATGGTTGAAATTTGCTTGAATGAGGTTGAACCATTTGCCAGCTGGACAAGGTCCAATTTGCCCCAGCCATACACATTGTATCCATGGAAAGTCCCGAGGTTCTTTGATGGTCCATAATGGGTTTTAGATTGGCCCTATAACTACAAGAGTGCTCCATTTATTACTCTGTCCTAGATAGAGTGTGACGGACAGTGATGGAAGAAGCCGCACATTAGGAAGTACCAGGGGTCAGCAGAAACTGCACCTACATAATGGACCATACCATATGACATGGCGTGCATGCAGGCTGCCTGTGTCATGTGTGATTTCTTGTAAAAGAAATAATTGGTACTGTTTAAAAATGAAGTTACCTTCAACCCACAATAGCAACAAGCTCAGTTGAGTCCAAAGGGATTCTGATAGTAAATTGAAATTTATAGCACAGATGTATATGTAATGTCATATTATGTTCATTGATGTCAAACATAGTTTCAAACCAACATGATGCATCGTTTATTCTGATCTGATGTCAAAGTTTCAAACCTACATGATGCTATGTTTATTTTGATCTGATGACTGCAAGGTTATAACGTTAGATATTCATAGTTATTGTTTATCTTTAATGAAATGATAAGCTTAGTGGCATATCAACATGTACACAGTACTACATGATATTCATGTACTATTTACTGGCAATGACTGTTCATCAGAAAAGTGAGCTGATTTGTATGTATTTGTACTTCTTGCAGCAGCCTAGGCATAAATTATATCCGCATATACATTTTTAGGCTGGTAGGTAGGATTGGAATGTAAAAATAGGATTATAATAAGGCAAGCCACAGTTATGTGTTTAAATTGTATTGATTAGTATCTTAATTATGATATACCACCTTCTGAAGTAATGAAGGGAGACATTTGGTAATGTTTAAAGTGTTGGCACATATCCAAACTATATTATGTGTTGTAGGAATGCAGGGAAGAGTAAAAAAAAGAACTGAAATTTTCACAGAACATTAATTCACCATGTTTCATATATAAGCCATTTCACAGCATGCACATGGGTTTATGGTTCCCATATGGCACCCATGTCTTATTGATTAACGTATATTGCACAGAGGATCCATGATTGGAAAGTAAAAGTCATAAACTAGCATCTTTGTTAGCACATCTGTTCATATATAAAAACGTGTGTTGTTGATGTTAAATGTTCTATTTATTTTGCCAGGTCCCAGAATTCGATACATACATGTACATCTAAGTGAGCTAATACTAAGGGTGAAATATAGTAAAAAGGTTGTTCAACTTTTGTAGGTATTTGATAAATATATCTTTCCTCTTTGTACTACCATGTCTTCTGTGTTTATTACCTTTGCCAAGAAAGTTATGTTTTCAGGGCTGTGTGTGTGTGTGTGTGTGTGTGTGTGTGTGTGTGTGTGTGTGTGTGTGTGTATGTGTGTGTATGTTTGAATAGCTTAACTCAAGAGGTTGTGATTCTTTTTGATATTTCGTAGGTGTCGGCAAAATGAAGAAATGATTACAATATAGACCCCCTGGCAGCTTAAGATATTGCAACAGAACTTATGGCTTTTATATTTGTTCTTGACATGATGTGGTCATGGTTGATACTAGTACCTCTTGGACTTGTATATAAGTGGTACAGCTGAGGAGTTTCCCAAACGCCCGTGTCACCAGAACATTACAGATGTTTGGGTTGATAAGTCAGAAGATGGCTGTGTGTCCGTAAGCGAGGGCAGCCAGAATACAGTAGCCTGTAGTCCAGCCTTGTTAACTCTTGTCCGCTCTCCAAGATCTGCTACCTCGCCAACAAGCGAGTCTTGGTGAGCTGACTGAAGCTAACAAGGCTGACTCCAGGCTACCTGCATCTGCTTGGAGATGTAGTGTTAACCTGCAGTACGACTGTATGACACGACTGTCCGTGTGCGTCACGTGACTTCTCGTTCAGACTGAATAGGGAAGTGAAATAGAAGACGCCCCCCGTGAGTACTACATGTATGACGTAACGTTACAGGTAAACCTCACAGTTCACGTTCCCTTTCCTGTCGCCGGCAACAGAAGGTATTGTTGTCCTGCTCACCTGAGAGTCACGACGTCCCCATTCCAGACAGGTGAGACGAATTCCTTTCTTCTTTTACTTTCGATCTTCTTGGCCACACACCGTGCCACGATAACTACGTGTATGATATAAAAGGAGTAACATACAGGACTGCTACTACCAAGTTCAGGTGTACGGGCTGAGTTTAACACATTCTGCATCTGACAGAACGTACATGTACACCGATGTAGTAGTGGGTGACGACATTTTAAACAACTGTGGGTATGCTACAACATACAAAGATATACTTCTATGCGATCGGGAATGTACACAGTATGCAACGAAGCGTATATATATATATGTAATTCGTGCAGCCTTATTTTGCGAGGGATACAAATGTAGATAATATCGAATGCTGTACTGCGACGTCTATTGTCATGATTTACGTTGTAGTTCATACACGTTGGCGTAGATTCGAAAAAAAATGTCGCTTGTGTGTTGGCACCATTAAGTGTGGTTGAAATGGTCGGGAAGCTTTGAATTGACGAGCTACCTGCATATGCAGCAACAAAGAAAAACTCATTTTCGAGTCTTGCATAGAGTATTTGTACAAAATAACTAGCATCACGAAACATTTCTTTCCCAATCAACTATAGTTCCTCTTTGTCTGTTTGGTATTGTTTAGATGTTTAAATACCGAGGTGTGTTATCAATCGTAAAACGGAAGGGAACCAAAAAGCGGAACTTCCGTGTTCTGTGCGTTACGAACAGTGGATGGTTGCTGATGCAGTACTGCTTACCTCCGCCAAAGTCCCCCAATGGGACGACAAATTAGAGAAGAGGAACATTCAATCCGTGATACATCGGTTTTGAATCTGTTGACTTGGATATTACTGTTTACCATCGATATAAACTGTATGTATATTTTGTTGTTTGCAGCAGACTGACGATAGCCTTGAAAAGCAGCCATGGCAGCAGCACACCTCCTGACAGCAGTCCTGCTGGCAGTCACCGCCATACAAGCCGTCCCAGTGCCTGAAGCGTGGCTAGATGCTGATTCGTTCCTCTCAATCTTCGCCTTCAAGGGGCCTGTGCGCTGGTCTAACTGTGGTAAGTTTAATCACTTTAACAATATAACTGCATTCCTCATCCTTTTAACTTTCTTCCATCCAGTCTCTCTTTTTTTTTACTTCGTTAAATTTAGTTAGATGTGTAACGTTAGTTGTTTTACTATTGGCAGACACCACCTGTTAAAACAACAATTCATGTTCCCCTCTCCACCTACAGGCGACCCTGCCACTCAGAGCTTCAACGGAACGGTCACCCCAAACCCACCAGTCAGAGGACAGAAAGTCGCGGGCTCCATCAGCTTTGTACCAGGTATGGACAGGCCGGTTCGATAGGAATAGAACGGACAAGCAAGCAAGCGTACGAATGGAGGAATAGGGGGGAATGAAAGAAAGGCAAGAAGTAAGGGAGGAAAGAAGCAGGGAGGAAGGAGTGCGCAAGTGAATCTGTGGCAAGAGAAGGGATTTCTTTGATAGTAAACATATAACGTTACCACATTGTTTGTTATCCTCCTACAAGTGTGTGTAACTCTATGATGTTTTTACCTGTACCTGTAGACGCAGATCTGATCCGCGGAAAGATCATTCTGAATGTGTGGTATAACGGATCCCCTGCGATCCAGGTACCTTTCCCGATCTGCACACCTGGCGCCAAGGCACCGGAATACTGTCCGATGAAGAAAGGGGGTAAGTACCTTACTTTGGTTAGGGACGTCCACTTGGATGGGACGTAAAGCGCAGGTGTACATGTTTGAGGCGAGAACTTACCGATGACCTATTAGCCTGGTCTACTTTCTGTACAAAACTATGGCGTTTGCTCATTCTGCGAAAAAAAGTGAAACTTCATCATACATTGACGTTCCTTCTATTACATGTATATGTGTTCATTGCTATGATTTTAGTTACGTATATTTGATCTGCTGTACGACTGTTTATCCTACAGTGAAGGTGTCCGCTGCCAACACTGTCGCTGTGCCGAACTACCTGAAGCCGGTAAGATAAAACGTACCAATATGTACATGCTGTAATCCTGGGTACTGTCGTACAAAGCTAAAATTTTCGTATCGTACGAGTAATCTTCTGATCTGGAACTCTACCTGTCACAAACCCTCCATAAAATACCTGTAACACCAATTTGTTAAGAGATCCACTTCTCCATTTGTCGTAAAAACTTTCCCAACTTCCTCAAAATTTAAGTATAAAAATATGGGTGTTTGATAACGATACATTCGAATCCAGTTCCCCTTTTTTCATAAAGGACGTATAGCTATAGTACTGTCAAAACTTCCTAAAACTGCACTGTGACAGAAATGACTGCACGTATGTAACGATGTCCCGCTATCGTTTATCTGTTTAAATCATGTTCCCCTTTTTATTTACTAGAAAAGAACGAAACTCCTTCTGTTCCGTAAAATTTGGTCCATTTGGTGTTGCTCAGTCCATATTAACCACATCTCACCAGCTTATCATATAGATTGGTATATGGTGTCATTTTAGTCTTCCACATATATTGGAAGCATACGTGCGATGTTTAACTGTTTATGACGTGTGCATATAGATTGGTATGATGATAGTGTAGTCTGCTACACATATATTGGTAATGTATACGATGCTAACTCGTGATCAAGTGTAACTTCCTGATTTATTAGCCATGAAATGCGCGCTATTTGGAAATCTTGTGTCTCATACTTTTTTTTCATTTTGGCGCATGCACCCTTACAGGGACACTACAATGGCACCGCCATCTTGCTGAATCAGGACAACCATCAGATTCTGTGTGTTCAGGCTGAGGGAGACCTGGCCTAGCACCAAGGGAGCCAGCCCTCATGTCTCTATTGCTCTTGGGTTATTTGGGAATTGCAGGAACATTCCCTATTCAGGAGAGCTAGAGTAAACGTTTAAGAAGCTTACAAGCTTCTAGAATAAACTGCTAGAATAAAGTATTCATTATTATCACACATTTTTGGCTTCTGTGTTTATTCAATGGACAAACCTGCGCCTAAACTATTTTTAGGCTTACAAGTATTCGAATAAACTTGTACATATGTGCTATATATCACGTGCACTCAAGATTGTGATAATCAATAGATAAGGCTTTTTAATGTCTTAAAAGACCATTCATCGTCTAACATTGAAGAAAAAAAAAGTGGACTAAAATTTGACCAAAAGAGTATTTGGCACTTAAAGGTTGTTTCAGTTTGATACGTCCTGCGCACAAATGATAACTCCGGCAAAGTATGCTTTATTTTAAACATTTCTACCCTTGACAGCATAGAATGTCATAGATAACAGAAGCAGCATATATGTGACTGTAATTTCTGCTGAGTTTGGTTTGTTACCATTACCTTGCACTTACCATCAAATGGCCGAGTGGCCACGAGGGCACGAGGTCCGATTCCTGGCATTTCTGGCTAGACAATCACATTGTGTCCTTAAGGCCCGGTCACACTGGCGGAACTTTGCTGGAGCGTTGCTTGAACGGTGAATAAAATTCGTCACCGCTCGAAACCGCTCACCACCGCTAAACAGAAGTTGGCCCCCGTTAAAGCAACGCCGTGTACGCCCGGCCACCGCTGACGTTTCTGGAGGGGCCCTCCTACCGCTCCGAAAGTTTTGAGCTGCACAAAATATTGCGAGCGGTGAGGAGGGGGAAATTTTCCGCTCCGGCAAAGTTCACCCCCGCTCCACCAACGCCCAGTCAAAGTTTGGCATCGCTAGACGCAAGTTCGTGGACGCTTGGGTCCGCTAGGCCAACGCAGAAATCTTGAACGCTTGACCACCGCTGCTTCGCCAGCGTTGCCCGGGCGGCGATTAAACGTTGCACAAACGTTGCACAAACTTCGTTGGAGCGGTTGCAAGCGTTTTACGAGCGGACACGTGGTTGCTGGAACGGTGTCAGGCGTTGAAGCAGCGATCCATGTCGGCAATGAACTTTGGTTTGGCGTTGGTATAGAGGTGTCGGAGCGGGACCAGAATTTGGCTATAAGTACGGTGAGAAATGGACCAGGTGCTCATTTGGAATCGAGCTACCGTTGAGTTCAGGCCTTATCTATATCGAATTTGCTCGAAGTTACAGTAAAACTGTATCACCCTGGATGCTGAGAGACTTGCTATGATTGGTGCACTAGTGTGCAATTATTTTGGGGCCACACGTAAAATGTTCAAAGAGGGGTCACACGGGCAATCACTTTATTGGGGTCACAGGGGAAATTTGCAATCTGCAAAGTTTTATTTTCATTATCAATTAAATAACGTAGTCAAGAATAGATTAACAAAATGATGTTTATTAAAGCTATAAGTCCCCCCACACACAGAACAGAACTTGTACTACTACAAAACGATCCGTTCAACTCCGTAGTCACAAGCGGTATGCCGCTAAACCGCATGCGCAGAACTCCGCTATACCAACGCTTGCGTCACCGCTATACCAACGTTCGCTACCGCTAAACCAACGCTAAAGCAACGCCGGCTTCAACGGTACACCGCTAAGTCAACGCCCGTGTTTTTATTTTTTTCCCCACATTTTGGGCGCGGTGACGAGCGTTGTCGAAATTCGGACCCCGTCCCTACCGTTAAAGGAACGCTCCAGCAAAGTTCGGCCAGTGTGACCGGGCCTTTAATAGGTAAGGAAATTTCCTCATTCAACCAAAGACATGGTATAATGCCCAGGGGTAAGATAAAATTGGTACCTGACTTCGGTTAAGGAGTCTGGAATGGGTGGTGGAAAGGAGAGGGATGGGATCCGTCTTCCAATACCGTGCTCTATCACAGTGGGCTGAGTGGAGTGACAACCCATTGCCCCGTCGACCTGAAAAATCCTATAGGATCTTACGTCCTCGCTTTGTGCTATCATATTTGTACTAATCCAATGCGATTTCAGAGCAGCAAAACTGGAAATATTCTGAATAAGGCAATCTTTATAATATTGACACATGATACTTCACATTAGCACTTTTCAATCAGTATTTCATACTTTTGGGTATTTAAAACTGCAGAAACAAGCCCCAAGATGAGTCCTTTATTTTATGGGTGGTACCCTAAAAATCAGCCAAGGGCCCTTCCAGTAACCATTTCCCGTCAGAATTTTGGGTATTTTTGCTCCTTGATGGTCAATATACATTGGGATAGTGGGGTTTCAACTCAGTATGTAGATAAATGACGAGAATATTGACTTTGAAAAATCGGGTCTCCAAGCATTGGATGCTTTTAAAAAGCACTGCCAGAAAATACATACTATTAATGGTCTATCGAGTTTTTGGTTCGGCTACGTGGATCGGTAAAGTAGTTGTGTGGGGTATAACATCAAAACTCCACCAATATAAGTTTTCTCTTGGAATAAGCCGACGTTAAACTATCTGGCAACACTCAGTACGATTACTTTACTGCTGACACCATCGAAACTAACCCATTCATCATAACCACATTTTACGGGGACGGAATGCAGAAGTCTGACCTGTGACATATTAGGAAATGTCACTTAGGTAAAGTTCTTTCAGTTCCTGTTCTGCATTCAAGGCAGTCAACAGGACTCTAGTTCACATCGCCCCTCTAAATTGGATGCGTAACCTGTAAGGTAAGAAAATTCTTTCTTTTATACAGTCTAAATTCTCGAGTTTTCAAAGACATAAGACAAAATGAAAGGGTCGTAAAAAGCAAGCAGAAGACGTCTCTTCCTAGGACGTATCATAGTGAACGGACGGGGACAGTTTTGTGTGAGTTCTCCAAAGCAATGGCGTGCACGTGTTTGCTTATGTAATGGTTAACTTGAGCTAGCTAACCTATGCTTTAGTAAAGAGACACATGTACATAAACTAAACTATAGTACATGTAACACCGATCCATGGGGACTTTGATAGGAGCGAAAGTTCGTTGATTGTGGACAACTTGTTATTGCAACTTGATGTGCCAAGATACCAAGCTAAAAAAATAATATGTCATCGATATATCACGTATCACATATATGAGACGAAAAATGGCGATAACCTTTCGGGGTAAACGCATTTCTATTTGTGTTGAGCAACATCTATCACAAACGTGATATGGACAATGTATGTTCTAAGTGACGATATTTTCTTGAAAGCGAGACTTCCTCTCAGCTGAAGGTTAACCATCACCATGGCAACGTGTCAGACAAGGCTGTCCCACCTGGTTGTCATGCTCTCTGTGGTAACCATGGTGATGACTGCGCCACAAGGGAAGCTAAGCCTGGAAGCTGTGCTGTCGTTTGCTGCTAACAACACCTTTACCTGGCAAAATTGTGGTAGGTTGAACTAATTAATTAAACCTCAATTAATACATTCACTAGTATAGTACAGAACCTTAGACTTAATTACTTGATATATTCTTCTGATTTTAATAGATTTTATAGATCTTCTCAGATCTCTTCCTTTTTTTCATAGATTACCGTATCCTAAGTGATAGTGGTTACGTGTGATGTTACGTATTACTAATATATATGTTAATTGATAAGCATTTCGTAACATGATGAATGTTTCAAAGAACTTAACTACGTATCACAAAGATCGTGCTTCTTATCTGTTATGCGAAAATAAAATTAGCATGTTTTTAAAAAGACATGCTAACTTTAAAATTGATTCAATGTCCTAGTCTCCCAGTGTTCCGTTTTCAGGTGACCCTGTGACACAAAGCTTCAACGCCACAATGGAGCCGAATCCGCCGGTGAGAGGACAGAATTTTCAAGTCGGCATTACGTTTGTACCAGGTAAAATTTACCCTCTATGATAAGTGTGTTTTTTTAGTGTTTCGAATCCCACCGCTGCCACCATTGTGAAGCTATGGGAAAGCGGAATGACACTGATTAGTATACTCTCTTAAATCCATATTTGTGCGCTTTTGATCACCGTGTTTTGGATGACTTTTGTATCGTAGATGCTGATCTGACGAGCGGGAAAGTTGACGTGGACTTTTGGCACAACTATCGACCTTCGTTCGCCATTCCCTACCCCATCTGTAAGAAAGGCATCACAGAAGAACACTGTCCTATGAAGAAAGGAGGTGCTAATCATATTTTCAAAACTTCTTACGCGATACTTTTAGATAATGTGCCATGCAATCACTGTGTGTCTTATATTAGTATCACCAGCTTCAGGGGTGGGTAAATTATCTAAGGGGCACTGTACCTGTACATTACAAAAAAAGTAGTATGCTGGTCATTGCTGTCCTTATTTTGATAGTCTTAATGGTATGTAGGTTCTAGTCTCTTTAGCAGACTCTACGACATTTTTGCTTATATAAATGCTGTTCAGAGGCTAATATTGCCCACAATAAGTCATCGACAATAAAATGATATTATAAGCAAAAAGCCCCAATCGTAGAGCATGCTAAGGAGACTATATATGTTCTAACCCCTAACTAAGACATTTTTCTTTTATCTAGTCCCGGAGACCATAAAGAGTAGACCGCAGGTGTTTCCGATGCACATCGAACCGGTAGGTTGGGTGATAAACTATCGACTACTTCTTTGCAGAGTAATTCAAAGTGTGGGGGCAAGGATGAGGATCAGGGAGGGCTACCAGTGGGGGCAAGGATGAAGATCAGGGAGGGCTACCAGTGGGGGCAAGGATGAAGATCAGGGAGGGCTACGAGTGGGGGCAAGGATGAGGATCAGGGAGGGCTACGAGTGGGGGCAAGGATGAAGATCAGGGAGGGCTACGAGTGGGGGCAAGGATGAAGATCAGGGAGGGCTACCAGTGGGGGCAAGGATGAAGATCAGGGAGGGCTACGAGTAGGGGCAAGGATGAGGATCAGGGAGGGCTACGAGTGGGGGCAAGGAAGAAGATCAGGGAGGGCTACCAGTGGGGGCAAGGATGAAGATCAGGGAGGGCTACCAATGGGGTCAAGGATGAGGATCAGGGAGGGCTACGAGTGGGGGCAAAGATGAAGATCAGAGAGGGCTACGAGTGGGGGCAAGGATGAAGATCAGGGAGGGCTACCAGTGGGGGCAAGGATGAAGATCAGGGAGGGTTACGAGTGGGGGCAAGGATGAGGATCAGGGAGGGCTACGAGTGGGGGCAAGGATGAGGATCAGGGAGGGCTACGAGTGGGGGCAAGAATCAAGATCAGGGAGGGCTACGAGTGGGGGCAAGGATGAGGATCAGGGTGGGCTACCAGTGGGGGCAAGGATGAAGATCAGGGAGGTCTACGAGTGGGGGCAAGGATATGGATCAGGGAGGGCTACGAGTGAAGGCAAGGATGAAGATCAGGGAGGGCTACCAGTGGGGGCAAGGAAGAAGATCAGGGAGGGCTACGAGTGGGGACAAGGATGAGGATCAGGGAGGGCTACGAATGGGGGCAAGGATGAGGATCAGGTAGGGCTACGAGTGGGGGCAAGGATGAAGATCAGGAAGGGCTACCAGTGGGGGCAAGGATGAGGATCAGGGAGGGCTACGAGTGGGGGCAAGGATGAGGATCAGGGAGGGCTACCAGTGGGGGCAAGGATGAAGATCAGGGAGGGCTACCAGTGGGGGCAAGGATGAAGATCAGGGAGGGCTACCAGTGGGGGCAAGGATGAAGATCAGGGAGGGCTACGAGTGGGGGCAAGGATGAAGATCAGGGAGGGCTACCAGTGGGGGCAAGGATGAAGATCAGGGAGGGCTACGAGTGGGGGCAAGGATGAAGATCAGGGAGGGCTACGAGTGGGGGCAAGGATGAAGATCAGGGAGGGCTACGAGTGGGGGCAAGGATGAAGATCAGGGAGGGCTACGAGTGGGGGCAAGGATGAAGATCAGGGAGGGCTACGAGTGGGGGCAAGGATGAAGATCAGGGAGGGCTACGAGTGGGGGCAAGGATGAAGATCAGGGAGGGCTACGAGTGGGGGCAAGGATGAAGATCAGGGAGGGCTACGAGTGGGGGCAAGGATGAAGATCAGGGAGGGCTACGAGTGGGGGCAAGGATGAAGATCAGGGAGGGCTACGAGTGGGGGCAAGGATGAAGATCAGGGAGGGCTACGAGTGGGGGCAAGGATGAAGATCAGGGAGGGCTACGAGTGGGGGCAAGGATGAAGATCAGGGAGGGCTACGAGTGGGGGCAAGGATGAAGATCAGGGAGGGCTACGAGTGGGGGCAAGGATGAAGATCAGGGAGGGCTACGAGTGGGGGCAAGGATGAAGATCAGGGAGGGCTACGAGTGGGGGCAAGGATGAAGATCAGGGAGGGCTACGAGTGGGGGCAAGGATGAAGATCAGGGAGGGCTACGAGTGGGGGCAAGGATGAAGATCAGGGAGGGCTACGAGTGGGGGCAAGGATGAAGATCAGGGAGGGCTACGAGTGGGGGCAAGGATGAAGATCAGGGAGGGCTACGAGTGGGGGCAAGGATGAAGATCAGGGAGGGCTACGAGTGGGGGCAAGGATGAAGATCAGGGAGGGCTACGAGTGGGGGCAAGGATGAAGATCAGGGAGGGCTACGAGTGGGGGCAAGGATGAGGATCAGGGAGGGCTACGAGTGGGGGCAAGGATGAAGATCAGGGAGGGCTACGAGTGGGGGCAAGGATGAAGATCAGGGAGGGCTACGAGTGGGGGCAAGGATGAAGATCAGGGAGGGCTACGAGTGGGGGCAAGGATGAAGATCAGGGAGGGCTACGAGTGGGGGCAAGGATGAAGATCAGGGAGGGCTACGAGTGGGGGCAAGGATGAAGATCAGGGAGGGCTACGAGTGGGGGCAAGGATGAAGATCAGGGAGGGCTACGAGTGGGGGCAAGGATGAAGATCAGGGAGGGCTACGAGTGGGGGCAAGGATGAAGATCAGGGAGGGCTACGAGTGGGGGCAAGGATGAAGATCAGGGAGGGCTACGAGTGGGGGCAAGGATGAAGATCAGGGAGGGCTACGAGTGGGGGCAAGGATGAAGATCAGGGAGGGCTACGAGTGGGGGCAAGGATGAAGATCAGGGAGGGCTACGAGTGGGGGCAAGGATGAGGATCAGGGAGGGCTACGAGTGGGGGCAAGGATGAGGATCAGGGAGGGCTACCAGTGGAGGCAAGGATGAAGATCAGGGAGGGCTATCAGTGAGGGGCAAGGATGAGGATCAGGGAGGGCTACGAGTGGGGGCAAGGATGAGGATCAGGGAGGGCTACCAGTGGGGGCAAGGATGAAGATCAGGGAGGGCTACGAGTGGGGGCAAGGATGAAGATCAGGGAGGGCTACGAGTGGGGGCAAGGATGAAGATCAGGGAGGGCTACCAGTGGGGGCAAGGATGAGGATCAGGGAGGGCTACCAGTGGGGGCAAGGATGAAGATCAGGGAGGGCGACCAGTGGGGGGCAAGGATGAAGATCAGGGAGGGCTACCAGTGGGGGCAAGGAAGAAGATCAGCAGGGAGGGCTACTACTGGAGGCAAGGATGAAGATCAGGGAGGGCTACCAGTGGGGGGCAAGGATGAGGATCAGGGAGGGCTACCAGTGGAGGCAAGGATGAAGATCAGGGAGGCTACCAGTGGGGGCAAGGATGAGGATCAGGGAGGGCTACGAGTGGGGGCAAGGATCAGGGAGGGCCTTCAGTGGGGGCAGGATCAGGGAGGGCCTTCAGTGGGGGCAGGATCAGGGAGGGCTACGAGTGGGGGTAGGATCAGGGAGGGCTACGAGTGGGGGCAGGATCAGGGAGGGCCTACGAGTGGGGGCAGGATCAGGGAGGGCCTCGAGTGGGGGCAAGGATGAGGGAGGGCTACGAGTGGGGGCAGGATCAGGGAGGGCTACGAGTGGGGTCAAGGATAAGGATCAGGGAGGGCTACGAGTGGGGGCAAGGATGAGGATCAGGGAGGGCTACGAGTGGGGGCAAGGATGAAGATCAGGGAGGGCTACCAGTGGGGGGCAAGGATGAAGATCAGGGAGGGCTACGAGTGGGGGCAAGGATGAGGATCAGGGAGGGCTACCAGTGGGGGCAAGGTTGAGGATCAGGGAGGGCTACGAGTGGGGGCAAGGATGAAGATCAGGGAGGGCTACGAGACCATTTGGGAATCAAAATTCTCACAGTGCGTAATTCGATTCAGTGGTCTTTTACAATTTCTCTGATCGCAACTACGCAAACACATTCACACGTTACCTAACTTGTGTGTCCTCCCAGGGCCACTATAACGCCACCGCCACTCTCGTGAACCAGGCCGGCCATCAGATGCTGTGCCTCACGATGGAGGGAGACCTGAAGTAGGGAGAGAAGCCTGAGAGACGACGGCCTCTGCACGATAATACATACAGTCTAATGTGCCTAATAAAACAGACTGTTAAGAAAAGTCAACGTGAAAATGTATACGCTTGACACTATGGACTGAAATATATGTATATATAATTTACTACTATAATCGGTATTACGTGGTTTATGCTTTCAATGTCAGAAATTTTCCAGTCAAACTTCTTGATATTTTGAGTGTAATTTAGAGACTCAAATGATGTCGCAAAGACTCGGCTGACGTCACCAAATAAGACTAGAGAAACTGAAATGAAATCGAAAAGAGTGTCGTTCATGATTGTGTTGTTCACAAACGTGTTGGTCTTTCAAGAATTTTTTTTCACATTGTGTACCCAAAGCCTTTATACTGCTTAAAATCAATTCCTCTTCACAAATAGTGGACAAATTGTCTCCCTCTTCAGTTATTCTTTAACATATCACAAGTTACTGAATTGGCGTTGCCTTAGCATGTAGAATTATTTCCCGTTGTAACAAAATTAGCACCTCAACCAATGATGACATAGCAATTAGAGATTCGACCAATGAGAGAGTGACTGTATGTCTGTGCTGTATATTTGCATTTGTACGTTTTGACGGAGGTGGGCGTGGCTATGGATTGGTGAGAGGCTAGCAGCTGTTACCGTGGACAGACCCATAACTTCCTCTGTAGTCAGACTGAACAAAAGAGCTGCGCAGGTGTGTGTTAGCAGGGGACCAACCGTTGTTGCTGCCCAGTGGAGTTTTCTGTACTTCATCCTACACGTACCTTTTCTTTCCCAAGGTAACACAAATGTCTTCACTTCCTCTTAAAACGTTCATATATATATACATATATGGAATATGATATGATCAACAATATGCTTAAAGTAACGTTATCGTAAATCTACGCAATAAAAACATAGATGAAGCATATCCGCGAACCGTCCCCTTCTAGAAACGGTTCTCCCGTAGCAGACATTGTCGGAAAATTCTTAGTTGTGTCAATGACAAGATTAGAACTCATCTATCTATCTATCTACACCAAAGTCGTTTTTGTAGATCTTTGTAGTCAGTGACAACCATGGATACTGCTACATCTAGATCAGGTCCTAAGATTTCGACCGGTTATTTGAGGGGCAGAAGATCTTTAACGGGAGGAAAAGACAAGAAAGCCTCCGTGGGCGGCGACAAACGCCTGTCGGCGAGCTCCCGGGACAGGCGGGCGTCCGCTGACGCGGCAGAGAGGCGGGGCCAGGGGGATGTCGGCAGGTGGGCAAGTTCTGAGGAGAAACGGATTTCGTCTGTGACCGGAAAGCAAACGAAACAGGTAACTGTCTTTACTTCTGTCCTGATCGTTTACATAGTGTTAGATCTCCAAAGGTAAACACCAAAAGGCCAATCTTTCTTCCAGAATCTAACTGTCATTTGCTAAAGGGACATTTGGACATTGCAAAGTGAAAACATACATCTGATGTACGTATATTAAATGCAAAGTGCATGTATGTATCATTGAACTTTCGGCAGATGGCGCTTCAGTGCGGTTTGTTTTTCTGTTTCAGGAAACGAAGAAAGACTCGGTAGTAGATTCGATGAGCGTAAGCCAAGAAGTGTGCGATAGAATAAACAATGAGGTGAACATCTTCCAGTACGCATTACATATGACATTATCCTGTGTAAGGCGTTGTAAGCCGACATAAATCTTAATACTTTGTCAAGTTTTTTTGTTGTTGTTCTGCACATTTCTGTCATGCAATTGTGTTCCAAATGCCATGTTTCTTAATCATCATACTTTTTTTCGTTCCTTACTGTCGTCTCAGATCATGTCAGACGACGACATTCAGAAGGATATTGCGGAGCTACAGGAGGGTCTTCTCACCCTGCGGGTCATGTTAACGGACCTACAGGACATACGGGCCACGAGGGACAGGTACCGAAGTTCATGTACTGATCATAACCTTCAGCATAATGGACAAACGCGTTCGCATTCACTTCATACGACTTGACACTACATACGCTCAGATATTTCGTTGCCCATTCATTTAGCTTCTAATGTACACAGTAAATACGTCATTTTGTTGTTTATTATAGCACATTCTTCTACATGTACGTGGACGAGACAAGTAATATTACAGTTTTCTGTTTGGATTGAAAACTTTAATATCAGTGTTTAAAGTGCTAGCGTTTGCCGTTCTAACAGGACCCGTGGAGTGCGGGGTGTGGTGCTGGGTGTGGCGGACTTGGCGGCCTCCCTCAGCCGGGAGCAGGCGGTCTGGATCCCGTTCGTGTCGTCATCACTGATCGTCCTGCTGCTCTGTCAACTCGTGCGACTCTTCTTCCGCTGACATCATATACATCTACTTCATATGATATTCATATATATCCAAATATTCATATTTGGTTATTATAAGTGTACTCAGTATGTCAACCTATTATAGGATATTCTTCTTTAACGTACTGAATCTCCATATGGCTATTTTGCACAAACATTAACGTTAAAACAACTTTTGTTTACTCTCCACACCTTCATAAAGCAACATCAAGTTTAAACAGTAAATGGCAGTAAAGGGACATCGGTTGTGCTGCTATTCTTTTGTACTGACGTTTGTTCGTGCTATCTGCGCACCTGCTACGTTTTTGTCCTTGGTGCCGAAAAGTCTCCCACTGAGTCTTCCGAAAGAAAGTGGAAGCTTGTTGATCCACCGTCAGTCTCGACTCTTCATCTTTTGTCATCCTCAACTGAGTCAAGGTGAAGCATGATGCTTTTTTCAAGTGTAGAAATGTGTGCTTCGCTAGGCCTCGCGTATTTAGCCAAGCACACCGAGTCAACCCTACCCTTCCTGATGTATGTTTTTTGGGCGTATCCTCTTACCTGGATGTCTATATCCTTCACCGCGAAGTGACGTCTATCTGGTTTGCCTTGAGTTGCAGCCTTTCGGTAGAATACTTTTTCGACATCGTTTTCTACAACATTTCCAGCACAATGTCTACTACAGGAATGACAACACATATTTGTGTAGCTTGTCGACTATTTGTGAAAGTGTTTTTATAAAGAAAAATGTCGCAGTTAGCTGATAAACCACGTTACAACGGGCTCATTTATACATGTAAAGGATTCGTATCATTTCAATGCCTAACGCTTGACTCTAAGAGATGAAATCGCTATGAGCGAAATTACACATAGTTTAAAGTCCAGTGTATGCAACACACCTGTTAAGCCCTCCAAACTGTAGACCTGATGTGCTCTCAAGTTACATTCATAGGTCATTGGAGGTGAAATATTTCGGATAAATGACGTTCTACGGAAGGTTTTTCAGCCAAAAGGACTAATTTAACACAGACAGGCTAAATATGGCTCTTATTAGCGGCTGTACTGTATACACGTTCGTACTGTATATTCGTTATCAATCGTTTGTTGGAGCTTTTGTTTATTCATGAATACACAATACATGTACAACTCAATACTGGCCGCTTTTCATTGAGACCATGATAGCCTGTTGCCCAAACCATTTAGCTGCCAATTCTCTTACGTCCTTTCCTGAGAGATCGAAAGAGACTTTGCAGCTAAAATAGAAGAGTCATCGTTACACATCATTCATCAATCCAGGTCTTATCTTACCAAATGCCAGCTAATTATTTTGCTTGTCTATTGAGCCTTCAGCTTCCTGTTGTTGCCCATCTACAATGTTTTAACATCTACAAATTCTATGGGTTGAAATGGATGCGTCACTTTATATTTACCTACCCTGCTAAGTCCTCTAACAAATCATTGACCGTTTGGACAATTTTAATTATTTCCTTCAGCCAGAGAGGGGTCATGGTGAAGACTGCCGCTGACCAGACCCTACCCAGGCCCTGACCCTACCCGTGATGCAGTCTAGTCTATTCTTGGCCCAGACGACTAATCATCCTGTTCCTCTGTTTGGTACGTGGTACAGGCGGTTAGGTCACACAGAGTAGCGGAGACGAACATGTACTGCAGTCTGGTCTGTACGGAAGCGTGTTCTTCACGTCGTCTGGGTGAGATCTCCGGATCATCAAAATGTAAAACACGTGTATTTGTGGTGAACCTACACGTGTCGTTTGGACAGATGCAGAGATTACTAGTACTGTGTTCATTTCTGTGTATTACATGCGTTTTCTAGGCATTTTGTGCGTCGACTTTCTGATGGTTTGGTCTCTTCACTTAATAGGAGGACGTAGAAAATGAAATAAGCGACAGACGATGAAGCGAACCCTATATAGCTACTGCTTGAAGATCAATCCTCGCTGAGACAATGACCTAGCGGGCAATTACTGTAATTCTTACTGTACAAAACAAAGATGAAAACAATGCAGTATACACTGACCCAATTCTGATGAGGTTTTATTGTACTTTAATGATCCAATAAACTTGGCATAAACTTGTGAACGCTCCGCATCCCTTCCCGTCTGCCACCTGTGTTCACTTATAACTTGAGTCAAATCTGAGTTTCCGTTTGTCGGTTGCTGTCTTTCAAATGACAGGAACTGAAAAAGACAGACTGTAGAAATCCACCACTACTTTACCAAGTATACACCAGACGTACACGGGAGAGAGAGTAGAAGTATTTGGGGAAGTGGTGCGTACAGGGAGCTCCAGGTTGGACTTAATCAGGTCATCAAAGATCTTGTTAGCGGGAAACGGGGGAAGCCTTTTGACCCGACTGTGCCAGCCTCCCGCTCCGTGGGAATTCCCGTCCGTTGGCTTGGCTCCAATCAGTTGATTTGTGGGGTTTCGGCGTCGGGCTCGCTACGGGAGAGATTACTAGATAGACCTGTTGCTCTAGGTAGCCCTTCTGCACCAGTTATATGTGCAGTATTTCATCCTGTCAGGAGTTTGCTTTGAATTACAGTCGTATTCACAACATAAGCCCCCCTCCCCAAGTGGAGGGGGTGATATCTATAAACCCAGGCCTTTTTCAGTTTTTGTACACGCACCTTCTCTCATCTATTCAATCAAAATTTTATTTGTATTTTATGGTGAGTATTTATTTAGTCTGTATCATACTGTTTATTATCGCGTGTAGTTTTCAAAAACATTGGACATAAAATCAGTAAACAGCCAGGCCTTTTTCAGTTTTGTACACCCACCTTCTCACGTCATCACCTCCATTCATTCAAAATTTTATTTCTATTCCGTGGTATGTATTTATTTAGTCTGTATCGTACATCATACATGCATACTGTGTATTATTGTGTAGTTTTTAAAAACAAATGCGACATAAAACAGCATTACGCTAGGTCGAAAAAAATTGATAATGTTTCTTCTGACTCACTATCAAAAAAAGGAACAGATGGATCTTCGAAATCCCTCCCACCATCGTCTTGGAGCTTGAAGAAAAGTTGTAAAAACAAAACAAATCATGATGATTACAGCGTACAGGAAGAATGTTTCAGTTGCTTTTCTTCTCATTCATTATGTATCATCAATTCCACTAACTTACCGCGTTACTTACACCCATTACCACATCCAGGTCATCTGTTGGTGTTATTTACAGAGATTAACTTCTCACAGACGATCTCTGAAGGTCTGGTCCCTTAATCAAGTCTGACGGGTCCTCCCGGCTAACAACAGGTCCGCCCTTCCGCTTGGTCTTTCTCTACCTCCGCCAACACATGTCTTACATACAATACCATAGGGGCTCGGAATTACACATATGTACACGTCTTCCTGCAGAGTATATATTTACAGAAAGCAAGAGCGCTTGTGTAAGAGGAGAAACTCTTATTGACAATGGGGGGTCAGGCTAGAATTTGGAGGGGGTGATATAGGAGTCCTAATAAGCTACACCCTACATATCTAGGATGGCGCTCTAGATCCTAGATGGCATCCATGGCAGGTTTAGACCAGACAACTTTTCCATTTCTGTGAATCAGGGATATCCGTCTCGCCCCCACTGGAATGCACATGTCCAGCTTCCTCAATCTGTTGCCAAAGAATGAAACGGAAACCCTGACACCCGACTTGACATGTTCTAACTTTTGTACAGCGAGGCGATCGAAACCAGACAAAATGATTATTTTCCAAGATGTGCAGGCTTCTTTTCCAGTGGTTGGAGAACTGGCGGGGCGTCAAGTCACCAGTACTGGTGCGGTTAGCGTCGGCCCGGATCTCTTGCTGCTGCGTTTATTGCCTTTTTTATCGTCTCTGTAGTTTGTTTTCTTACGGGGTGGGCTCATGATCAAAAAGATATGCCGAAAAACACATGCTAACAACAAGTTGCAAACGATCCAACGTGGTTCTCTTCAAATATTACTGTGCTGGAGGTCACCGTCCAACGCCAGTCTTCGGAGTTCTCTCGCCTCAGTGCTTTAACAGGTGTTTTGAGTTGTGGTCTGAACAGCGACTGAAGTTGAACAGAATAGGAACGGAAAAATTGGATTATAGAGTGAAGCCGACTTTCAAGACGGCTTTTCTGAGCGCTGCGCTCCCAGTAAAATAATCCTAGCTGGTAGATAAGCTCCCACGCGTCCGTGTGGTATTGTTATCTTAAAACTCTAAACACCGTGGAGGATTTTACATGCCAGCGCGATTGGAGAAGTAGTTGATGCCGCGCTATAGCCGAGGGGAACACTTCCGTAACAGTGCCTTGAACAACGCGAAGGCTACACCATTGAAGCGCACACAGTACGTACGTAACACGGCATAGAACTTCCAGAAGTAGTTATGACTATAGTACTGTTGAACAGTTCTGTGGGTCATGCTTCGGGCGTGATATAATAGAAACAGCCGAAATATAGACGATTTTAAGTTAGAAGTAAAGGCGGTATCGAAAATGCTCCCGTAATACGCACGCCCAATGTGTGTACGGTTTAGACAAGTGAAACCATTTATGAGAGTCTTTGAACGCAGGAAACCGCGGAATTTTCCAGCTCCGAGAGGAATTCCCTTCAGGACTGCCAACTGCGCTTTGTGTTCCACCCGAGCAGGGAAAAGCGTTTTATGTGGCGTCGCCAGCTGAGAGAATTAGTCTGGGAGTGGGACAACATCGATAGACGCGAGGTGGGTTTGGAACTGAGAAAGGGTTGAAAACACTGCGGAGTCCCAGAGGCCACATGGTTTGTCACGCACTCCGCTCGGTACACCTATCTTAAGGCCGCCAGCTGGGACATGTAAATGTTTGTACAGGTAAATAATAGCCTGGCACATGCGCAGTCGCCTTGCGTCATCAAGTGTGTGATAATAACCGGTTCGGCGGGGTCACCAGTGCACGGGAAGTCGGAACTACACTTCCACGTCACAGCTGCAGCAAAACCGCGTGCTACGGAATTCCCAGGGTTTTGCGGGACACAAACACTGGGGGCCGGCTTGAACATGCAGCCGTGAGGCGTGCGGGAGCGGACCGGGGCGGCTGTACACCTGGGGTGTCGACAGGTGAGAATGGGCGTGAACCCGAAGGTGTTACACGCAGTCATCGTCACTAGTCTGTTCTGGGTCGCCGTGGATGTCGTTCTGCTGTCCTTCTGTGGAACATGGCAAGACAACACCGCCGTCAGGGCCTTCAGAGACGCGCAGGGAAGACCCCTCAAGCCGAGGGACGACCCTGTCTACCCCGATGACGCGGGAGGACACAGGAGGAGGGGCCCTCCCCGCGGCCAGGTGTACCCGGACTCACCTGCGGAAAGTGTCAAGAACGTCCCACCTGAAAAACGGGGCCAACCGGAAGTAGACAAACAGAAGGACGCGTGGCCTAAAATACCACAGGTAAACCAAAAATGGAAGGAGATCCGAAAAGAGGACATCAAATGGATGCCTCCTATGAATTACGACGCAACTTCTATGCCCAGGGACCCGAACGGACCGGGAGAACACGGGAAAGGCGTCACCACAAAACCCGAGGAAGAGCCTCAAGTCAAGGCGGGCTGGAAACTGGCTTCTTTCAACAAATACGTCAGCGACAAAATCTCTTACGAGCGGTCCATTCCAGACACCAGGCTACCAGAGTAAGTAACCCGATACATACTGCCCTTGGTGACTGAAGAACCACTAATTGTACGCTTGTTAAACCTGAACAACGTCACCGTGTTCTCGTGTGTAAACTTTTGGCTGTCGCCACATTGGCACATGCACACAACAGTGGGACATATCCTTGGCCACGTAAGAATGTTGTTGGCAAGTGGACCCAAGTTCCGGGTTCGATTCCCAGTGTGAAGACAGGGGGCAGGGTATCAGCAACCAAACTTTGATCGATTTCTTGCCCCGACTGTGTATCATAAACAAACACTTTAGCTTAGCCAGCCGCTCTCTTGTTTCTAGTCTATCAACACTGACGACATTGTTTGTGCCTGTTCGGTCACTCGAAAAAATAAGATCGTTAGGAGTTCGGTCATCAGTGTTTTGAAACAGGCCACGTCATGCAGACAAACACATGTTGAAAGCCGTCTATCGCCAGTAGTCTGTGTCGTACCCCGCTGGGCACGATTCATTTTATCTGGACATGGTTACCACATAATATCTAACAACGACCCTTCCCTCCGACATGTCCGATATCCGGGTCTTACTCCGGACACAGCTGCTAGAATAGATAAAACAACCCCTCATCCTTCAAGTACTACTAGCAGCCGGCTATACCCAGCATTATATCAAAGTTTACAGCACAAAACAGCTCGGTGGTTGAAAAGTGGCGCTACATTCGAACATGTGTGGGAGGGGCGCGGTACAAATCGTACATCCAGTTTTACCCCATGTTGTTTAAGTGGTGTTTAATTCTGTCGGATTTAAGTGAGATCAGAACCCCTCATGGCTTTGTTATCAATGCCAGAGATGTGGAATTAGAGAATGGGGAGTGGGGCGACAATGAAAGACTGGCACGGGAATATGTTTGTAGATAAGATAGCGGTTATGCCGTAACTTACAAGTCTATTTAAAATAAGTGGTATGCATGGCCATATGCAACACAAACAACTAAAAACTGAAGTAACAAAATACAGCAAAAACTGTAATCTTTTCCCCGCTGAAGGTGGTGTTACTTCGAATGTATGCTGACGATATATCATATGCATAATACTTGTGCGCTATCTTCGCCTGGACCTCCCCAAGGAGACTGGGACAGTTTAAACTTTAATTCGGGACTCCAGGGGTTTGGATGATCTGTGCCACTCTCCCAACTCCCGACTTTGTTGGACAGATCAGACAATGAAACGTGGAGACATACATGAGATAGGTATTAGATGACGGTTGGGACAAGTCATTAATTTTTCATAGTCTCAATCAGCTCATTGGGTCACAGGACTTACGCAAATAGTAAGCTTCTATCTATCTACCTTTAATCTTCTGCATATAACTTTCTCTTCTCCGTTGTATTCCTAATTATAACCCTTATCATTGCATTGCCTTCAGCACATATATTGTTACGGCTTGACGGCAAGATGATCAGTGTGACTTATACACATAGAAATTCCGAAGCGAGCCATTGTTGAAAGTTGGCCCTGTGCTAAACGAAACAAAACAGGTGCAACACAAACTTAAGTCCGCTTTGATTGTATTTTTCCAAACAGATGTAAGACGAAGAAGTACCCGGAGTATTTACCCCCCACGAGTGTTATCATGTGCTTTACTGACGAAGCGTTTTCGGCGGTGATGCGGTCCGTTCACAGCATCATCAACAGAACCCCTCCGCACCTGCTGGAGGAGGTTATTCTGGTGGACGACAACAGTACCAGAGGTGAGCGGGCAGTTTTGGAAGAATTTTATTTACATGTACTTGTCTATCTATTGTTCATTGTTTTCTTTCACCGGGGCTGTTAGTTCAGCGACCAAGTACTGCCTTTTCATTTAGGGACACACAATACAAATACAACTACAAATGTGTATAGATTTCTCTAGATTTTACATACATGTACTAGTACCTCAAGTTCAACCATTTCTTGGGTTTACATGCGAGCTTTGAATACGTGGCAGCATGTGGGTTCTAGTATTCCTTACCTTGTCTTTTCCATGGCATATTGTATTCTTGCTAAGTTTTCTTGCTAAATACTGGTCATACGTACAGAAAACGCATCCTCATATGATAAACGTTAAAAAAAGATTAACAGTTTGGCGGAGGGCCTAAAACAGAAATAACTTTTCAATGTCGTCATATGTTGCCCAGAGCCGCTGTAGCCGGTATCAGAACGTCCATTTCCACCCGTTGAAACATAAATACGTAATGCGACTTCTATTTTATCACAGAGTAAATAGAACCTAATGGAACGTGAAGTTAAACATATACAGATGTGATCCCTGTAGCCAAATGGGGCAGATAAAAATAGTTGCTCTAATCTAAACAAAATCTGTGTATACAATTGTTATATATACTGCGTACGTATGCACTTCAATGTATGTAATATTATGTACCTAAAATAGACAAAACAAATTAAGCACAGCTATCATGGGGTGATCTATCGTGTTACTGTATACAAGTGGAATAGATTATGAACTTATATAACTGTTATCAAGGGACCCTTTATCAGGAATACCACATGCTGACAGGCCGATGACAGAGGCGGTAGTCAGGGCATCGGATGGTTACTTGTACGCTCTCGTCGAAGCTTGAAAAGAAAAAAAAAGAGTCATAATGGCTCCGAAATATTTTGGTGGCAATCATTTACAGCACATTGTTGGGAAAGCCTAGAATGTCTTGTAAAAAGTACTTTATCTAGTGGGTCATCGTCACGAGCTTAAGTTAAATTTACCCAGCGTGTTCTAGGTTGCTCTTGTTTCTGCGTCTTCAAGTGCTCTTGTTCCACCCTCTCCAGTGTATGTGTATATGATAGGGAGAGGTCGTACAAAGTTCGTGACAGGCAGGGCAAGGTTTCTGCTCCAAGTAACCAAAGCATCCTGGTTCAGGTCAATGGTGATAAACGGCTTTAGGTTAGCGTGTCAGCCATTGCCCTCCTTCGGTCAAGATTACTCCCCCTCCTGCCGTGCCACGTGTAACCTGCCGGTCACATCGCTGGCCTGAGGCTCGGACTCGCCACTGTAAGCTCCTGTCCCCACCTGACCAATTTAGCCCACCCGAATTCAGGGAGAGGAGGTGGGATTTCCTTGGGGCATGTTGATCCTGATGCCGAAGAGCTGCCCTGTGTAGCGACCCTGGATTCCAGGTTATGCTACGTATGGCCAATAGCTGTATGTGCTTCAGACAGCAAAGTGGTTTTGTTTACAAGTATACTGATCATGACATCTCTGATAACATATACACAGCCCATGGTCTCTAGGGGGACTGATAAAAGCTCCATGTAACGTAATGATCCACGATCCTTTGCCACAAGTCAATGACGTTCCCTCTACACTTCCCTTATCTTATCACTGGGAGCTGAACGACCTACCCACCACAAATAGAGACACGCGCCTATCAAAGTGTGTCCAGATATAGAACTGAACATGTAAACGGAGAATGATTGAAAACAGACACATCTAAAAGTAAAATAGACTACTTTTTTTGCACTTTTGAGACCAAGAAAACTTCTATTTAGTACATGAACAAAGATATGTGATAAAAGAGAACGAGCGGTTATAACGTTGCAATAAAAACTAAAAGAGGCATTTTCTCTCAAAGTTTAAATTTGGGCAGTTGCAAAAAAATTCTCCTTGGATGTCAATTCTGTTCCTTTTGTCTTTTGTTTCTTTTTGTAGTTTCCTTTCTTCGGGGAGTACTTCCTTCGTTCTCTTTTCTATTCTTCCTTCTGTTCATCAATTTACTGTACCCACCTATTTCTGGTCCATTTTCTCTCTCACCTCCTAACGTGAAACGACACAAACGATGTCAAGACATGTGCCTCGGGTGTTGTTCCCACGTTCTTGACCCTGACCTTGCCGTTCCCCCTGCCCAGCCGAGCTGAAGGGTCACCTTGACGACTACGTGCAGCGGCAGCCAGGCTGGGACAAGGTGAAGGTGATCCACCTGGAGAAGCGGGAGGGACTGATCAGGTGCCGGCTGAGGGGTGCGGAGAAGGCCGCGGGACCGGTGCTGACTTTCCTGGACGCGCACATCGAGTGTAACGTGGGGTGGGTGGAGCCGCTACTGCACAGGATCTGGGAGAACAAGACCAACGTCGTCATGCCCATCATAGAGGCTATAGACGACAAGACGTTTGAGTAAGTACACGGTTTCGCTTTTGTCTATTCTTCGGCGCTATTTGACTTTTTAGACAGTGCTATACAATGTAGCACGTTTATATTGAAGTGATAAGTGAATGACTAATATGTTATATCATCATATCATTATCATCTGTCGTGGAAATGTCTAGCCTGGATGACAGACCCATAGCACACTGGACACAAAGTATCTCAGTGAGCAGTGCACACGGGACAACTTGCTATGCGTCTGGCACCTTGCACACAGGATAACTTGCTATTGTCGTGTGCGATGGGTCTGGCACCCATGCTAGGGAAATGTCCTGCATAGCCGAAGCCAATTGCGGTTACCAATGATAGACTCACGATAGACTCACAGTGAATATTGTGTAAAAACATGTTTTACCGTCTATCTTGTTAGATATCACGGGGGTGTGCAATCGTCAAGGTACGCCCAGAGGGGCGGCTTCTCCTGGGAGTTACACTTCGACTGGAGGGTCATCCCTGAGTACGAGATTAAGAGGTGGAATGGGGACGAGACCACACCAATCAGGTAAACCATTCCAAAAATCAATGATCATCAACGGTAACAGAAAAAAATGAACACATGTACTGCATTGCTGTATGCTACTTCCTGCAGGTATTTCTGAACTGTCCCCAGACTCACGTCCCTATAATTTCTCACTAAAGACATTTGCAAGGAAAACTTTGGCATTGAATGCGACAAATTCCAAGTTAACTCCTGTGGCCTTGTACCATGGGAAACGTTTACACTGACGACAAGCAGGCATTTGCAGCCTTCTATTCTCGTAAAAAAGATCGTTTGTTTTTCTGCTCTGTCCTAGCATCACCACCGGCGAGTGAGATTATTTTCTTTTCGTCAAAAGATCTGCCTAAAACATATGCATTAGTCACAGGGAGGTTTCGCTCTGTTGGAATTCTAACATCTGACCACATGAGACTTTACCCAGCGCTTGTCACATTGCTAATTATGTCCAGCACCACCAACGGCGTCCAGGACTAACACATGCTGCTAGAAATATTCCAAAATAGAAAGAAAATTAATCACCTCAAGTCGTTATGATTCAAAACATGTGTTAGTGACTACTACAGCTAGTAGCCAATGTCTAAACATGCATATACGTCAACATTGCACATTGTAGCGTTTCGGCTTTAAAAATCGTGAGCCATATAAAACTACGAAGAAAGGTATATCTTGAAAACATTGCCAAAACTGCAAAATCGCATGATCTCCGGTTTTCCTGTTTGCCAGGATGTCCTGTCCAGAAATCGTCGCTATTTTCTCTCCCAAGTTCTGATTGGCAATAGTGTAACAGTCGTGCATTCCACACCGGTCCCTTGCAGCCGTTTTTGTCCGTACTAATTAACCACCGCTCCACAGGTCTCCCACCATGGCGGGCGGTCTGTTCTCTATCGACAAGAGTTACTTCTACGAGCTGGGGACGTACGACGACAAGATGGACACGTGGGGAGGGGAGAACCTGGAGCTGTCTTTCAAGGTAGGTTGACTCTAAATTGTTTGTTTGTTTGTTTGTTTGTTTATTGTTTGTTTATTTCAGTTTGCTACTGCTACAGTTCGCATGTTACTGTTATTACCGTAAATTCACACTTAGATGTATGAGGAGTGAAATGTATCAATAAGTTTATGGCAAATCATCATATAGCAGATGGGACTGACCAATCAGAAAGCCCAATTCTATATTGATTATGAGCCCGTGATACCATTGGCCATCCAGCAGGTGTGTGGTTATTAGGATAATCGCTTCGCGCACAGGGCGGTTTCTTAGGTGGCCACAGAGACCGAACAGGTCGCCATATACACCTCTGGAGGAGACATTTATTTATTTATTTATTTATTCTCGCCTGAAGTCTAGTTGCAGCAGGTTACATGAACATGTAGAAAATGACACGAAAAACAGTGACTTTTCTATCTATTTCTGATATTAAATGTGGCTGACCAGGTTCAGGCTAGTTGGGTAACTGACTTCTTCGTCTCAGGCAGTTGCAAATAATGCCAAATGAAATGCCTCGTTCAGTGATGCGTGGGCTCTGTGGTTTGTGGGAAGGCATATCGTTCCAAAATTAGAAGTTTAGGTTCTGTATCCTGTCGCGTCTCCGAATGATTAGTTTCTCGGTCAAGATGATGGAAGTAGCCACTTAAAATAAAATGATACGGCAATAGAAGATAACATGGATGCCATCCTGGTTAGGTCAAGTTTCCTGATCTTTCTTCTCAACCGGCGGATTGTAGCCAGCCATCGGCCATGTGCTAGAGGAATCCACCAGAGATTGAGAACAACTTGATAAGTCGTTCAGGGGTAGGCTGTACATCACGTTTGGTCTGGCCATGTTTTGTCTCTGTCCGTGTTATGATATCTGGCGGGGATTTGGCGTGACTTAAGTGTCTTAATTCAAGCTGCCTTGCATAGTTCTGACAGCCAAGTGTTTATGAATTCCTGGTGGTTTGCATTCTATCTAGATCTTGTTGTCAACGATGGCCGTAAACACGTAAAAACTAACACGCGTAGGTCTCACAGGATCTTACGATGAAATTTCCCCTCTAGATCTGGATGTGCGGCGGGACTCTGGAACAGCCGCCCTGCTCCAAAGTGGGGCACGTCTTCCGTAGCAGCGCCCCCTACAGCAACCCCTCCGGTCCCAAAACCTTCATCAGAAACACGCTGCGCGTGGTAGAAGTGTGGCTAGATAGTTATAAGGTAAGGCACCAGTTTACATTGTATGTAAAACTTATTTTGGCAAATTTCTACTGTATTGTGACTGTACAGTATGTGTTGTTTTCTTCAATGTCTTTAGTTAGCAATCCTGGCATTGTTTCATATGCATGACGTCAAAGTCAAACGATAGCTTACCTCCAACGTCCTTACTTCAGGACCTGTTTTACGCACTCAACCCTCACATGCAAGGCGAGCCGTATGGTGACGTCAGCGAGAGGAAACGTATCCGAGAGCGGCTTCAGTGTAAGAGTTTTGATTGGTTCTTGGAGAACATCTTCCCCGAGCTCCCCATACCGGACAAGAACGTGCAAGGCAGAGGGGAGGTAAGCAGAGAAATCAGATCACCACTTGAAAAAGTTGCATAAAATCCTGTGGTAATCCAGACCCGTCAAACTATTTATAAAACTACAAACACAAAAGTAGCTAAACAGAACGTTTGACAATTTAAATTCGTCTGTTCATCTGTTCTGTAGCTGAAGAACCTTGGCGGGAACAAGTGTATGGACACGATGGGTGAACACGCGCCGTACGTGGGACTGTACTCCTGCCACGGCATGGGCGGGAACCAGGTACGACAACATCCAACGGATTGACTCGAGCTCGTGTGGCAAACTTTCTAGACCTTTCTAGGATAAAGCTTGATAATGCTTGACAACGTTGATTGATATAACGCTGCCAGCAGCATGAGTGGGAGTTTTAGAGACATATTTGTTTTCAGAACTTGACAGAATGTTTTCGTGTTTTTTTTTGTCGCCCAGGTCTTTAGCTACACGTGGAAAAACGTCATCAGCTATCAGGAGAGGTGCCTAGCCGTCAGCCGGAACAAACCAGACAGAGTCAGTCTGTACCCGTGTGGGGATAGGGACATTCTCAAATGGAAACATGAAAAGGTAAGGGCTATAAAACCTATAGCTACTAAGAAAACTTCTATTCTACCATCCATTTAGTTGGTATATGGTAGCTGACGTACATTTTGTGTTGGAAGAAAGTTTTGAGCTGCTCAAACTACTGACACAGATGAACTTTCATAATAACATTAGTAAGCTACTTTATTATGCTCAGCCTGACACGTTGTTGTTGTCCTGCAGGGCGGTACATTCTCCGTTGTTGGGGACGGCCGGTGTCTGGACTATGACTACACAGACAATCTTCTCTCGCTCAGGAACTGTAACGAAGGGATGAACCAGAGGTGGATGTTCAACAACTATTACGACGACCGCGGCAATAAGATATAGAAAGTGTCCCTCCAACTCTTATCATTAATGAAAGGTCCCTAATCTTGTTTCCCTCCATTTTGTTTGACGAGCTTTATGCAGTGCGGGCGGCTAATATAAGGCAAAGCAGATGTGAGGATCATGTGTTTTACGCGAGTTTTTGTAACATTGATAATACTGACATAACAAAACATCTTCGGGAGGAAAGAGTTGAAAAGGTGAAGACAGACTAAATGTTGAGAAAATACACGTAAAATACTGAGACTAATCCGGATCCTTACATCTGCTTGGTATTTTGCAAATATTGCACTCAAGCTTAAATACCTCTAAAAAGATGCCTACTTTTAACTTCGTTTTATGTGTAGAACTATTTTAAATCCGATACTTTAAATTAGATACTTAATATCCTATGCTCAATATGCGGAATGTGGCAAGTAGAAATGAAATTGTATGTCTATTTGGAGCAAATTTGAGGTGAATGGTATATGGAAGATGTAACACCCGTGTCCATAATATCACCAGGGTCCATATTAAATATCGCCACCTTGAGTAATAGTGTGCTTTAAGATATTTTTACTGCAACCTACTTTTGGTATGCATTCCTTCACACCTCAAATGTACATACCTAGGGTATGTTGCAGTAAAAGTATCTTAAAGTACACTTTTTCTCAAGGTGGCGATATTATGGACTATGGTGATGTTATGGACACAGATGTTACCTCTTATTCCATCCATCTAGTTCTTCTATGTGCTGCGTTTTTTCAGGTTGAAAGTAGTTTCTAATTGCAAAACTAGTTTTCTTTGCTTTTTAAAAGTGGCAAGTTCACCAAATGTGCCCATGACAGAACAGACATATATTCAGCTTCCAGGACTGCTACTGTCCCCGGAGAGTGTACCTCAATCCCCTTTCCAAAGAAAGTTCAAATTTTCCATTTCTGGATTTATCACCATATTGGTGGCGATGTTTATACTGAGAAAACTTATACAAAAAGCGGCTAAATTTTGTTTTGCATGTAACAGCTTTACAGTTTATTTTTATTGTCATCAATCAAGAGCCACGTGGTAAGTTTCATGGGGTACTAGTAATAGGAATCTATAGATTAGATGATCAAGTAGGTAGTACCTCACTCAGAAGCTCTTAGGAATCATATCATAAAAGAAATCCTTTAAAGTGTGAAACAGCAAAAATATTATGCAATTGTCACTGAAGATGTAAAAAATCATTGTGTAGCTTGTGGATGTATTTGTAGGTTTAGAAGATGTCAAACAAATTATGGTGTAAATATATATACATATCAAAGTTTTTAGGATTATCGAATGGAGTTTTCAAAATGTGAGTCTGTGTCATTGTTTGTTGCAATAAGATTTTGAACTATGAATAAAAAAAATGATTAGGAATGAAATTTCCCTTGTGTGTGAAGACTTTTACTTTCAACAACTGCATTAAGTGTGCATGTGGTGATATTTGCTATGAAACATAGTTTGTCAAGGTTCGAAAATTCTGCATGACTTAAAAAAACTCTGGTGACCTATACAACATTTTGGATATGAAAACAGTAAAAAGGTTCTAATCTTCAGTTGCCTTATTGGTGTGAATTCTGCACAGATTCTAATATTCGAATAAGATACATGTTTTTCTGTAATCTACCCTCTTCTCTTTAAGAGAAAGATCCCTTTTCTATCCACGGGAAAATATACGACAGATCAGACCTACCCTCAGCACCTCAGTTCAGAGAGTCAGATTCCCACAGAGCTACAAATCAAACCAGCCCAGTAAATCTGGGAAGGCAGCCATCTCATTCCAGCTCACCACATGTTATAAGGTTTAAGTGGACAACTAATTAATAGGTTACCTGATATGAATGCTGGGTTAATTACAAATGAACCTCCATGAATCCACAAAATGAACAGCTACTATGGTTTTATAACATCTGCCTTCAATAAAAATACTCTTTGGCAATGGCTTAGATATCTTAGCTCTTGCCAAAGTTGAAAACTGCACGTATGGTATGTGAATGAAGGTAGAACTCAAAGTTGGTAAAAATTTAAGGGCATTTGAAGGAAAGACACCGAATGTGGCTTGGCAGAATTCTGTATGTATCTATTCTGTATGTATACTGTATGTTTGTGGAGGGACACATTGCGGTAACAAAAGCTCTATACAGACCACGGTAGCAATGTTTGATGAGATAGCTGTAATGTTTGGTAGAAAAAAACTGATGATTGTTTGACTGATTCATGGCATTATATGCATTTCATGTACAGGAAAATACAGTTAATGAGGATAGCTACTTGACAAAATAAATAGCAAAAAGTGTTTCAGCAGTATAGAAAGGTATAATGTGCTGGTATAGGCCTAAGGGGTACATGTTTTTATGTTTTCTGTCAGATGTTTTCTGTTATTTCAATCCTCAGGAAAGTCCCACTCATCCATGAATCTCTTGGCTATTTTCCTGGTGATGTTGGCATCCACTCCCTTCAGCTCTGTCTGTCTCCTCACAGCCGTCTGGTGGGAGGGAAAATAGGAAAAAATTGGTTTTGTACTTCTTTGCATCCCTTTGTAGTTAAAATGCCAATATATTGCAATCAGAGAATCAGAGACTATTTCTGGTCAAAGTCAATATATATCAAGGACTACTGCTCTAGGCCAATCAGACCATACTTCTGGCTTTCCTCAGCCAATCAGAGACTACTTTTGGCCTCTAAGCCAACCAGAGCCTACTTTTGGCCTCTAAGCCAATCAGATACTTGCTTTTGGCTTACTTTGCCTGATACTACGTTGGAATCCTTACCTCAATCTTCCAGAGCATGTCTACCTCATAGGGCTGACACACCAGACTGGTGACCTTCCCTGTGACCCTGCTGCCCACCCTCCCCACACGCCCCACTCTGTGGATGTAATCTGACACCACACCGGGGAAGTCAAAGTTTATCACATGCTGAACCTGGAAGAAATGCAGATGCAGGTGAGGCTAATGATCTGTAACTAACATGTTCCTTTTTCATATTTCATCACGAGTACCTTTGAACTAATTCAATGCCTTGACTATACATTGCTTTTATGACGTAAACTTGGTTAATAATAAGACTCAAGAAAATCAGAGACTACCTCTAGTCCCAGCCATCCAGAGAATGCTTCTGTCCTAAGACAATCAGAGCATATCTTTGGCCAAGGCCAATCAGAGCCAAGTTTTTTTTAGCTACCTACTAGTACATGTATAAGCCAACTCCTGGCCTGAGCCAATCAGAGACTACTTTTGGCCTGAGCCACATGATGTACATATAATACGTGTAGACATAAGCGAATATCCAACAGAACTAAATGTTTGGCTTACCCTAACAGTATCCAGTCCTCTTGAGGCAATGTCTGTGCACACTAGTACATCAGTCAAGCCATCCTGGAATTCTTTGAAGATACCGAGTCTTACCTGTTCAAAACGATTTTAATAAAACATTAACAAATCATTCATTCAATCAGTATCAAGAAACTGGGATGTCGTATTTCAACAACAATGCATGTAGATTTGTACATGTACTACCAAAATGAAATGTTATTAATTTGATTATCCCATCCAAATTTCCTCTCTTGAAAAATTGCACTTGTAAGCTTACCAAATGTTCACTAATTGTTTCAGTTGCCAGTATCTGAAATCCCGAATGGTAGTAACATTGGTGATTGTTGACCATCATTTAAGAAACCAAATCAGATGGTTTTATACTCACAGTTGCGCTCAACTTGCCCGTAATCTTGGAGTGTTTGATGTTGTTTTCCCTCAGTGTGTGCGACAGCCAATCAGCAGACGAGAAGGTATTGCAAAAGACAATGACGGGACAGCCTTCGTTCACGTCCTGTTTGACAAGCTCCAGAACTGTAGCTGCAAACATATTACACCATCATGGGATGAAGAATGCAAAGGAGGGTTTGCTGCAAGGAATGATACTATTTGTGAGTGCCCTCTAGCAGTTCAATGAAAAACTGCATGTTATAGCAACTTATGATGTGCACACATAACAAACAATTTGTACTTGTAAGCTATGGGTTGGACGTACCAGCCTTGCTGCTAGACTTGACCCGTAGGAACTTCTGTGACACGTGAGGCATGACCCTGTGTAAGGCTGGGGTTGTCACCGTCACTAATGACTCCATCTAAATAACAGGGAATATCATGTTGGTGAAAAAGGTCACAACCACACAAGCTATCATACATTTCCACGTGGGCTTCAGTTTTGTCAGTTTTGATAAAGTGAAATACAGTACCGGTAATCATTTACTGCCAGCCAGGTTGTCATCCCAATTTTTCTACCACAACCTGTTCACATTTCTTGTGTATTTATCTGGCAATTTTCTTCAAATACAAATTGTCCATTACTATTGTTTACTTGAAGAAAAACTGTCCTTTAAAACTGTTGATACAAATAAACAATGCTGCACATACAGGCACGACTTCACCGAGCACCTCCGCGGTACGTTTGGGCATGGTCGCTCCCGCCATGATGACCTGGGTACCGTCCCCGACCCCGCCAACCTCGGAAACTCTCACCTGGAGCGACAAACAGCGACTTAACATTTGGCATGCTGAGATCAGTTTTCAAGCAGCACCAGTATGTGGATGTGTCCTTGCAAGAAGTATGCTGGTGGTTAAAACTTAATCTCATCAGCACTGTAACAAAATAGAAACTCATAAAAGCATATTGAACCTTTTTTGTTGTACTAGTAGGTACATGTACATATCTCTAAACCAGCATCGTACACTCCTACATTATTGATATATATCAAAGGTTAATATACTACAAGTAACTACATCAAGGCAGTATGACAGGAATTACAGTGACTAGCTCGATTACAAAGGAGTAACCATCATTTAACTTGCAAGTACTGCTTATAACATTTGGTTACTAGTATTACATTTCCTGACAGAAAATGCACTGAACTTTGCACAAATTGAAGATGTCATGCTACTGTGTCAAGAAAAACAATATCAAACAGCCTTCAGACATTATACTGTTTATTGCAACATAAACTGTCTCTTACCTGACAACATGAGATAGCTTCAAGTGTCAGTTCTGAAAAGCTGTCATCCAGAAGGGTGTCTATTTCATCTAAAACCAGGCACTGTGCCCAGTCCATTCCTAGGAAACCTGCATGTACAATGTACAGACAAGAGATGTTTTATTATAATACAGATATGTGCACACATTTGTTCATTTCATTTGTTACACTCAAACAGTAACACATCCAGAATGAATAACATATTCCTTACTCTTGCCCTGTCTCCACATAAAATATGCAAAATATGCAACATGTAGTTGTTGTAGTCCTACATATGATGTAGTGACCTTACCATTTATTCAGTAAAGAGGGGCTATCATTATATTAGCAATGAAAGATAACATTACATATACCAATGTATTATTGATATCATAATGTATTGTACACATGTACCTTTATGGAGAGCCTTGTTCAATGCTCCAGGAGTAATAACAAGAATGTCAACACACTTCTCCAGTTTTTTCTTAATGTTGCCCTGCGGAAAAAAGGGTACATTGTTTTAAGAGCACCTCATTTATAAATACATGTACATACATCATTCTTCCTCCTGTGCCAATGAAAACAGAGTACATCCACTATGCCTCATAATTTCAAGTCTTTGTATGGAAATTGAATGATAGTTTATTCTAAAATCCAAAGACAATGACTTCTCATGAGCAAATTTGTAAGCTGTTTGCTGTGCTAACTGCAAATCAAAGGTAAAGGAAAAGACAAGTACAATGCTAGAAAGTTGATGGACTCACAATTCCCTGTCCTCCTACTACCATCTGCATCTGGAAAGGTTTCAGCATCGCAGTGTTGAAACTTGTCAACACTTTCTGTTGGGATAGAAATCTGCATTTGAAATGTGCCATCTTTAAAAAATCATTGAATTTGGTTAGATTATTGATCATAACTTTGCATAGCCTGCAGTAATTAAGTGAACTGGTAGAAACAATTCTGATCACAAAAGAGAGAAGAAAAATAGTAGCAGTTTTCCAAAAAAGGATTTTCAAAAGACTGACTAATTCAAAACACAAATGGATCAATCAATGCTTAGACCCAATGCCCCACTAACCATGACTTGTTCAGCCAGCTCCCTTGCAGGCACCACTATGACAGCTAGAGGGCGCCCCAGTTCTCTCCGTGCCATGTCTGTGTCTGGCTCTCTCACTACAGGCAGGAGACTTTGCAGGAGGGGAACCACATAACACAGGGTCTTACCACTTCCTGGAGGGGTGGGATAAAGCTCTATCAAAACAACAGCAGCTACAATTTTGAAACCAAATGAATTGTTCAATCACAACCACCACGTTTTTCGAGTTCCACATTTTTTCTCTTCATTTCTAACAAACAGGTCTTCCTAATATTCAATGTAAAGAAATATTTGTTTTGAATGTCAAATCCAAATCCTAGAATGCCAAACCTGTTTCTGCAGCACACAAGACATTCTTCCCACTCAGTATGGCAGGTATGGCAGCTGCCTGGTGGTAAAACAAGCATGTCAAAAATCAACATTCAGTTTAAAGCTAGGTCTAAAAATGTCATCAAAGTTAAACCACACATGTAATCAAAGAATTACACATAATTAAGTGACTCATCTTAGAAACACCATCTTAGAAACAATTCATCATTAACTCTTTAGTTACAAAAACTATACTTTAGCTAATTAGTTAATTATAGTTACAGTAGCTATAATAAAAATAATATATTTCAGAATTAGATTCCATGTAACCATCTGAACCATGATCTTCAAACCAAAATGTTCACCTGGATTTTTGTAGGTACTGCCATCTTCATGGAACGGAGTCCTTCCAAGATGCCTTCCTCCAACGGGAGCCCCCCAAAAGTAGTTAGTGGTCTGTCCCCTCCTTCTCCAGCTACAACCTTCTCCTTGTCTGTATCCTTCTCCTCTGGGAGCAGGGCTGGGTTCTGGGATAGTTTTACAAATTTTATACACATGTACTGTGCATGTATAACATATCTACTAATTCTGTATATAATATGGCTTTTAGGAACAAACACAAAAGGATACTCTCATGTCTCAACTCTGACTGTGTAACTTATTTTGGCTATTCTATCATTCGCACAAAAAAGTGTCAAACCTATGTTTAAAACAAATAAAAAGAAAGGTTCAAGATGTTATAACTTTTATTACAGTATCGAAACATCTGTTTCCTTGTAGCCATCTACAAAACATAGACACACAGTGCAGCCATCATTATATACATGCACTATGCACTATAGATGTTGGGGTGGAATGTTTTTTGACTGGGGTGAGGTACATGTAATTTCAAAGAAAAACTAGAAAGGCCGACATTTGCTTGAGAGCAAATGCAGCAGATGGCTTCACCCTATCCCCCATACCGAAAATGGATTTATCCTACGATGGCTGCCAATAGTCTACACCCCCATGCAGAAATGGAACCTTCCAATGCCGGAAATAGACAAAAAGCCCTATTTTACATAACTTTAAAGTGGTGTATGTCAAAATCGTGACTGACATTCTTTGGACATGTGTCCAAGGTATTCCCATACCAAATTTCAGGTCATTCGGATTTAATATTAGGGCACAGGAGCCAAAAATGTCCATTTTTGGTCCGAAAATA